CATGAATGTATATTTCAATTTGTTCTTTCATAGATCTTCCATTTTTCTTTCCTCAAGATGTCAAGTGCATTAATATATCTGACAAAGTAAACTGAAATTAAATGATATGCAATATACTAGTGCAAATTGCTTTAAATTAACTCCTCAAAGTTTGATAAAAATCCTATCATATGATAACGAGGTGGCACTTAGAGGCACAGATAAAGGATGTCTAACTATTTTAAGAACACTGTGTTAGGTTAATCAACATAATGTCTATCCTGATAATTTACAAAGTCCAGAAAGATAAATTATACAATATCCTAGACTAAAATATATAGATATTGTAAGAAAAGTGAGGTTATCCAACATCCTATACAATAGGCTGATTTTTTCTCATTTATATCTAATCTTCAAATTTTATTTAAATATTTCCTACTCAAGATAATTGATGATTAGAAAAGTTCAGAACTTATTTACTTTTAGTGGTCATAACTTATCTATAGAGATAAATCCAAAAGGAAATTAAGCCATGGTGCACTGGTACATGTTTAACAATGATTCTGAAACTTTTGTTGTTGTTTTTTTTTGTCCTCCTGATTCATAGTATCTGTCAATTTCCGTGATATTAAGACTCCTGCCACAGCACAGACTAATTTCAAAATAAGGACGTGGTGTTCCTGAAATTGGAAGCACGTTGCACAAGCCCCCCAAAGGTTGGTTAAGGCAACTTCAGCAGATCACGGAATTAAGATCACACAGTAAGTCAGTACTTCACGAAAAATATGATTAAATAACTTGGGAGAATGGTGTCAATATATGTCCCTCGTGGGGAAACACTACTTGAAAGCTATTTCATGGCATTTAATACAGTAGTGGTTGTGTGCCATCAACTTGATCTAATGATCACAACTCATTTTTGTGAGACCTTGTGGCATACTGAGTTACTGCTGGGCTGCCAACCTCAAGGCCAGCAGTTGAAAACCACCATTTGCAGGAGAAAAATGAAACTTTCCTCTCTGATAAGTTGTTGCGGTCTTTGAAACTCATAAGGACATTTATTCTCTGCCATAGAGTTATTGTGACTCTGAATTGACTTGATGGTGGTGAGTTTTTTTCACACAGAACCCCATTGGGGATATGTAACTCTGATGATACACTTTCAGTCTCACTGGGTACATTAAAACAAGCACAAAGAAAACCCTGCCATTGAGTTTTGCTAAAACATTTGCGTCTCAAAAAAAAACCAAAAAAACTTTTTGCTATTGAATGGATTCTCATGGACAGATTTCTTATTGGACAGTATGGAACTGTCCCTGAAGGTGTTCAAGATGGTAAATCTATATGGGAGCAGAAAACGTCATCATTCTCCTGCCCAGTGGCTGCTGGTCTGAATGGATAGCCTTGCAGTTAGCAACTCAACATGTAATCCACTACACCAGCGGGTCCCCTTAATGATACATAGTAGTTATCACAGTCTACTCTTGACAACAGCACCAAAACAAACTCAACTCATTGTGTAGAATGGTGGTAAGAAAGAGCTTTTATAAAAATGAAATAGAAGAAAATCACTCGTTCATGAGGTTGGACTGTTTAGATAATATTTTCATTTGTGCCACTACCAGTTTATTCATTTTTCATTGTTATCAAGTCAATTCCAGTTCCCAGCGACCCAGGGTCTTAAACGGTAGAACTGCCCCCTGTGAGTTTTTGAGACTGTAATTCTTTATGAGAATAGAGAGCCTTGTCTTTCTCCCTAAGAATGGCTGGTAGTTTAGAGCTAATGACCTTGAGAATAACAGCCAATGTTAACTACTAAGACACCAGATTTTTTTTAAAAATAAATAAATATCTTAGAGATATTTATTTTTAAAAATCATTGCATTGAGTTGATTCCGACTTACAGTTACCCTTTGTGGCAATGTGGAACTGTCTGGTGAGTTTCTAAGACTTTAAATCTTTAGAGAAGTAGAAAGCCTCATCTTTTTCCTGTGGACAGGCTGGTGATTTTGAACTGCTGACCTTGAAGGGAGCAGACCAATGCAAAACCCACTACACCTCCTGAGCTCCAGAGAGATATTTATTTAGCATCGACTATATTCAAAATCAGGACCTCTAGTGGTTTCGTGGGGGGAGGGCAGGAAGTGCACACTAAACTAACTCAGCTGCTGAGGTCAGCAGTTGGACAGCAATCACTCTGGAAAAGATGAGTCCAGTTCCTTAAAGATTTGAAGCCTCAGAAGCAAGATGGGCTAGTCCTTCTCTGCCCTGGAAGGTCACTATGGTAGGAATCCACTCGAATGCAAAGAGCTCGGGGCATTTGATTCAATACTGGAGCGCTGGAAACGCTGCTAGGTAAGCCTTTGGCTGCTAGCCATGAAGGTGGTGGATCCCACCCACCCGCCACTGCCCAGGAGACGGGTGAGACTTTCTGCTCCGGTAACGATTTACCATCTTGGAACTCCTATATGGGGTTGTGATGAGTCAGAATCAACTGGGTGGCGATGAGTTTTTGTATATTTGCCTAGAAGATGCTAAGGTATTAGAAAATGTCTTTTAATTTATAAGGGTAAATAGTTCATTGCCCTCCCCCCCACCTCCAACAACAACAATAAAAACACCACCACCCTGCCATATAGTTGACTCTATTAGGGACATTGTTTAGGCTTTTTGAGCCTGGAACTCTTTACGTGAGCAGGTAGTCTCATCCTTATGTGTGGATAATGGGTCTGAAAGCAATGACCTCATCTTAAGCAGCGCAACCACAAAGCACAGTGGCACCTCTTAATGTCACTTTAGTGCTCAGTTCCTTTCTTTCTCTCATTTATTTTGCAAGGAAGGATACTTAATTCTAACACCTCATGTTATAGGAGCATCTTTTTGTTATTGTATTTTACGCATATCACTTGACGTGTCAGGGTTGCAGAATCTTTCTTAAGGAAATAAGCTGTCATTTCCCCCTTAAAGATACAATATTGAAGGTCCTTCCCTTCATAGTATTTTGTTAAAATAACAGTATGTTAATATCTATCAATCTATTCTACGTCAATATACCAAAGTGTTTACATATCACTTTTGGCTAGTTAGAGTAATTTATATGCACATATAAATATCCATAAAAATTAGTATTTTGGAAAACAGAAGTACATACATGAATAATTGCTAAATGTTAACAGAATAGAAAAACAAACACAAGGGGGAAAAGAACCCAACCATCTATTTTGTCACAAATTTCAAAGCATGGCCCAATTTTCTTTAACTCAACTCATATGATCGTGCAAAGTGGAACTCAAAGTTCTACTCTGTCCAGTGGGGGTGCTATGAAATGGAATGGGCTCAGAGCGTGCGCATTTGTTTTTGTTTCCTATTGGATAATCAGCTGGTACAGTTTCTACTATCCTACTTTAATAGTTGATATGCTCTGTTATTACACAAAGAAACTCTGATGTTGAATTATATGACTGTTAAATAGACAATTTAATAAAACCATAGCAAAATCACTAAGATAGTTTGTTCACTGGCCATAATACTGTAGGTCTTATTAATATTCCAAAATGATACTTCCACAGTTGATATTTTAATATATCCTTTTTTACCACATAACATTTTACTCACCATAAGAGCATACAGCTGGATGTTTTTCTTTAGATTTAAAAAACGCTTATGTGTTTACCTATGCAGAAACACACCACGCGTTTATTTTCTGACCACTCAGCAAAGGGCATAGAAATGTTGCTACCATGGTCACCATCGCTTAATTACTTTTAAAGGTACAAAAATATTTACTTTACAGGTCATCATTTGAAATGAATATCAACATACCATTTCAGCTCTTTGATAGTAACATTCAAACCTTTTGAAGTACAATGTAACAGAAGTTATTTTTCTGCCTTGACCTTTGGAACACCCTGTTCCCAGTTATAAAAATGTACTTTAAAACCAACATTACTCAAAGGATAAATTATATAGGTCATCTATACTTAGTGTCATGGAGATACAAGAGAGCAAAATATGAGATCTTCTAATATTCAGATCTGGTACATTGTTTGAGAAGAGTGTTTGATCTATGTTAATAATTCAGTACTGCATAGTGTGTAGTTATTAAACAGATACATTCTAAAAATACAGAAATGCCATATTTTATATGTGTCAAAATTTTATTCAAACATCAGCTGCTCACATACCGTATCAAAAAGTCCAATCTTAATAACTAAACACCTACCAGGAAAAATGAAAACCCACAACTTGCTGACTTATTAAGCAAAGAATAAGATATAAATGTGTGAGTTAGAAGCAGAAGTATTGCCAAAGGCTAATAGTTTTGCCATGGATTTGAATTCGCTATCAGTATATTTTAAAAGGCAGAGGAAAGCCCACACTTTGGGGCAATACTAAACACTACACCAAGGAAGTTTCCCATCAAAACTCTTGCCTTTCCTCATCAGATCCACTCATGGAGATGAATATAAACATGGAAAAATAGAGGGCAGAATATCAAAGATAATGAGGACTTGCAGAAAAGTTCACAAGATGATATAGCCTATGTTATCTTCATATATATATATATATATATATATATATATATATATTTCATGATATCAAGAGTAAAGCAATATCAACACTAGTTTATATGGTCCTCTATACTGGGGATTTTTTTTTTATATTTGACCTTTATCTACCTGCGAGTCTGAGCAATAAATATCATATTCAGCATCACCTTTATACAATTTTACTTTCTTTATCTACATTGTACAAAAGGAGGGAAATTCTATTCTGAAGTAGCTCAAGTTCGATTCTTAAATAGTCATGTGATTCCAACCCTCCCCCCGCCCCCCAGCCATGTGCTCCGTATCATTTTACTCTAAAATAACTACGCGGATTTCAGCTCAACCTGCTTTTGCTTATAATGCATGACATAGCCCGTGAGGGAGCCTGAGAACAGACTCCCTTGAAAAGCAAGGTTCTCATAGTTGGCCTGTAACCATGGAAGCAGATGCCGTTTTCTTTCTACCCTTGCTTACCTCTTTGCAGTTTCGAGCTGCTCCCTATTGTCAAAAGGGGTACGCCTTGATTTTTCTTCATCATGAGCGAACTTGCCTCTTCTTCAAAGGGCCTGATGCTGCAGGTCATTGGCGACTGTTTGCACGGTCCAGAGAACAGCCTTGATGTAACCCTGACTCCGTCTGAGCCACACCGCCAGCCGTGCGTGCATCTGCAGACTGTAGGGGACATTGGAGATCTGTATTTGAAAAGAAGTCTGCCTGATTTTGCCATTGTGCCTTTTCACTCATCGATCGAATGAATATCGAACCTTCTGTCTTTGCATGTGTGAAATAGATAGCTGAGCAAGCACTTTTGTGCCCAACCTGTACAGTGGCCAAAGGTTTCTGTTTTTTTAGTCTCTTTCTTTCTCTCTCTTTTTTTTTTTTCTTCAGATTTTACGAAGGTCTTGTTAGGGCCATCTATTTATGTTTTTATCCAAGTGTTGTCATCACTGCTTCAGTTATTTCTTCAGCAGTGAGGTTTGTTTGGTGGTAGAACAAGTATTTTCATTTCTGTCAGGTATGCTTGCGTTCTCTTGCAGCGTCTTAAATTCTAGCGCAGTTCCATTGACTTTACCCTATTAAGCAAGAAAATTGAGGTTATCTGTTTCAGGAGATCCTTAGATGCAATCTGTCATTTAACAGGTTTAATTCCAGAAAGGTGAACTTGAACTGCCTCAAGGTAATTTCAGTGATTTGTAAGAGTAAGTAAATCAAATAATCACATTGATTTTAAGTTGCTAGAATAACATGCTAAATAAAATTGTCTGATAACCTCTGTTACAGGATTTTTTTTCTTTGCTTCTCCCCCTTTCAAAATGTGGGGAAAATGCTATTCTGGATCCTTGAAATGTACTTAAAGGCCAAAACTGCAATAGGTATTTGGCCTACAAAGGAAATAACATGTCTATCGTATCTATTTTATAACATGATTTAATTAGACAGCATGCATTGTGACACTGTTCTTTACTTTTCATTTTAATGAAATCATAATTTACTGCTTGTCATCAATAGCCAATGGCTATTATAACACCTACTCTTTCTGAATGTATTCTTACTGAATGCTTATAGAATCAAGTTCATGTCAAATGCCTGATATGCTTATCTTCAGGATAACACTTTGCAAGCATTGTCTATTTGTGCCATCAATGTTTATTTTGTTTTGTTTAGCTTTAAGAAACCACTAGATCACACTTCAGGGCATATCTTTTTTTTTCTTTTCAAATTGCCACAGGCAAAGGGGAGGTCCATGAAAGAATAAAGAAGGTTATTGTGACAGATGAAACATAATTCACAATGAGTACTCTTTTCATCCAAGCTTTAAGTAGCTAAGGATTACTTCCAAGCTGAATTTCTGAGGAGGAATGCATGCACTGATTTTTCAGCAACATAGAAAGACAGATTAAATATAGAAACGGATTTCTCTTGAGTTAGGGGCTGGCTATTTTATTATTATCTTGTCTATCTGTTTGGGCTCTTAGTTTGTTTTCCTTCAAACAGAAGATGTGCTGCTCAGAGAGAATCTGGAGAATGGAAGAGAGTGGGTGGGCAGGGAAGGAAAAAGAAACAGCAATAAAAGTTGGAGATTTTTATAATAGATAATGATAAATGATGAGTTGAATAGATTGCTGTTTTCTGTGGCATGCATATGAATTAGCACACATTTTTCAACATGAACTGCAAAAGTAGGTAAATTTTATTTCGTAAATTTAATTTACATTTGTTAAAAAATAATTACTATTTTGCCTTTTTATACACTTAACTCAAATAGATTTCAAGTTGCTGTATAGTAACATACAAGGGTTATTACTAAACTTCAGTGAAATAAGTATATTTACTTGAATATTCAACTTTCTGTCATTCATTTTATTTTAAACAATGAGAATTTTATTTAAACTTTACAAATTTGTATGTTTAAATATATAAAAATGTCCTTCTATTGTTTGGTAAAGTCTGATTTTAGATCAATTAAACAACCAGCAAAATGTTATGCTTGATAATTCTCTTTGAATTGCAAGAAAATTCCAGACTAAAAAACACATTACATTTTGTGTGTATTTGACATATTTTTAATTTCATTTATCTTTTGGACTTAGTTGTTCATGAAATATTTGTAGTTTGCTTTATTTTCTAATATGTTGAAGGCTCGTTATTGGAAGAGTTTTCTATTTGTAAAAGTATTCAAGGTTTATCTGCTAACATCTACATATTACAAAACTTAGAAGTAACTGATATTTATCAGTTTTGTTCAATCATGATTTGTCATTTCAGAAAGTGAACAAAAATCTAAATTATAAATTGAGATATTTTTAATACATGTCTTTAATATTTCAAATATTGTAATGAATACTCAGAATGTGCTGAATTTGTTTAGATATTCCCTAAAATGAGTCATAAGGACTATAGTCTGCAGCTACTTCTTTCACCTGTTTTTTATTAAAGCACAATAATATGGTTATTTTCTATCTATATCAGTTAGACAGTCTTCTATCTGTATATGTAGTCAGATTCATCTTAAAATTTGTTAACATTATTAATAAATATTTGTCAGCACACTAAAAAGTTTTTCTTAATTAACTGATTTTTTGTTTATCTTTGTTGTGATTGAATTACTACTGGTCAAAAGTAGAAGAGTGTGACTGTGATTTCAGAAAATATTTTAATCTTACAATCATGATCTATTTTCTGATAAAAGTTTAAATGTAAAATCCCTATAGGAAATACTGAATTGCCATATAAGGTACATTTTCCTAGGTGGAATTTATCTTCCCTAAAACATATTTTAGTAAGGTCCTTGTATATGTTTTAGTCGAGACAAATACAGGATCATCTTTAAACAAAAAATAAATATTTCAAAGCACTATATAGATACATAGATATAGATATACAGAGTGAAACAAAGAGCTATTTCCAGATCATTTATACAAAGATTTCCTATTTGTAATTTTCAAAGCATAACCTAGCAATTGCTCTACAGAAACAAGCACATACTTTTGCTATTCGGAGCCTCCCAATGTGCCTGCTTATGAAATGTCCTTGAAATATTCAAGAAATTTTCATTAGAAAAATACGAATCAGATGATTGAGAACTGAAGTCACAGTCGTAATTAAATATAGTTGAGGGAAAGAAGCAAACCTTAAGATACGGTGTGTTAATTGTTTAAATGCTGTAGTTCAGAGTATAATTGCTTTTTAAAAATAATACATTTTATTCTATTCCCAGTGGGATTTACTAGAACATCTCGAATGAGCATATCTAAAAGTAAAACCCATTTGTACTCACTGAAGACGATATAATAATAAGAGAAAAATAAGGATTTTAACCCGAGAATGAGATTTTGCTTGTGTTGGTATGAGGGCTCTCTACAAAATATCTTTATGCAACCTAAAAGTGATGTCATGATAGTGTGTGTGTTTCACCACTTGTTTTTCATATTAGAGCCTACATATTAAGCAGAATTCTGCAAAAAAAAAAATAACAAAAGAGGTCGATGCAGTTCATTACCATATTTTATCTTTGCAAATGTGAGCAATAACATCCATATTACTCAAAGTTTATTTTCTATATTACGTGAAAGAACATTTTGTCGTGAGGTTTTCTTCTTCTCCCTCGCCCCCAAACACATTTTGCTCTAAACTTGTGCACCAATCACCGAAAAGACAGAAACAGCGAGAGCAGTTCAGGAAGCTGCCCTGTGAATGTAAAAGAAATCAGACTTTGATTTTATAAGACAAGCTGGATAGGAGTCAAAACTGCCACATGCGGTGTGAAAAAATGCCACCCTGGTGTGAACAAAAGGTTGAAAATGGAGTCAAGAAGCGTGCAGGCTCCATGGCTAAGCGTTTCCTGAGAACTGTCTGCACGACCTGCAGGGCATCCAGGGGGCGGGGCCGACAGAGCTCCTGGAAGCCACAACTGAGACACATCAGGAGTCAAATGTGTTCCGTCTTTTATTTGTTTGTTTGTTTGTTTGTTTGGGTAATCTTGTTTTGTTTTGTCTCGTCTACGCATCATTATCGTAAGCTGTTTTACCAATAACGTAAAACAAATCCCCCCAAAGTCACACAATGTGTGAAGAAACTGTTGCTTCTAAACGAATTGTTAATTTTGCTTCATTCTGTTTGGTTTCCCTTCCTTTACAGTGAAGCGCAGTCGGAGACTGTACGTTTCCGGCTCCTCGTTTGGTGGGCTCGAGTTTTGTTTACAGACGCGTCAGTAGAGAAAGGAGGGCGCAATATACTAGCTCCCAAACCAAGGAACGTCACTGCCATCAAGCACCTTCCAACAGGACAGTGAAAAACGTCCTTAGGTGTGTGTATCTTAGGAGTTATTCACAAATGATACAGGACAAACACAAGTGCGATTTTCCTTTTGTTGTTGTGAAACCATCACCACTGACCATTTGCTGTCTTAATAAATGATACAAGGACCATTGCTAATCAATAGCATAATTTCTTTAAAAATAGAATGACATGCACTGATATAACAACTTATCTAATATTTTTCAATGTGGAATTTGCTTCACAACCAAAACTATGTCAACCTTAAACAGTTTACTGAACTCAACGTTCAACCATCATCGTTCCCTTACGTAGTTAACTAAAAGTGGCGATTCAAAGTTAAGCGCAATTTAAAAGCATAGCGCCGTGAAACAAGCCCACTTCAATAAACTCAAAGTGTTTACAAATGCACAACTCTATGAATGCTAATCACATGATAAATTATGAATGGCGTTTAAAGAAAGTAACATTTCCTAGGTGATTGCAATCTAATCAATATACAACATCTAAATGCAACAAGAAACATCTTTGATGAGCATTGAAAAGAACTTTCAACTTTGAAGCCAGTTTTATTATATTTGCATCTTATCTCTTATTAAGGATTGGGTCTAAAGCCAGCAAATCCCATCAGTTATGAATGCAGGTCAAGACAGGAACATTTTTCTATTTACTCTTTGTAACACTGGATAGAAATCAATCTGTTACTTTCATTACAACCACACAATCAATTCCATTTAAAGTATAATACAACAGTCAAGTCCTAGGACAATATGGATCCCTGGAAAATTTTCTTACCATTTGAAAGGTTGAATTTGTTAG